GAGAGAGAGAGAGAGCGAGCGAGAGCGAGAAAGAGAGAGAGAGGCGCCAAGGCATTCACTTGCCAAGGCCGGCCATGGTGGCTCGGCGACCAGGCGCCATGTTGACCTCGTCGACGGGCGGCGGCCTCCGAGAGCGGTAGCGCCCGTCGGGGCCGCGCACCTCTCCCGCCTCTGTGACTCTGACCTGGCGCTGGTTGGGTCCCCCCAGGCTGGCGAGGGAATCGGCAAAGCCCAGCAGCGGCGAAGGGTGCCGCGACGACGACGACGACGACGACGACGACGACGAGGGAGCAGCGGTGGTCGTGGTGGTAGCGCGGCTGGCGCCCGATGCTGTCGATGGATGGGGTGGTTCGCTGGGCTGCCTCTGTCCCTGCTGCTGTCCCTGCACCATGTCGCCACTGCCGCCAAGACGCTCGTCGAAGCGTGGCATATCGGGAGCAGAAGCAGAGGGACCGAGTCCGGAGGACAGGGCGGCCAACGCCTGCCGGCCGAGGGGCGGCATCGACTCCCTCGCATGTTCCCTTGCTCTGCCACCCTTCTTGCTGCCCTCAGCCTCGTCGCACAACGACGGCGTCTGGCCCTCGCCTTCGTCGGAATCGCCACCGCCGCCGCCGCCGCTGCCGCCGCCGATGATGCCGCCGCTCTTTGCCAGGTGGAGCTCGCGCTCCTCGTACTTCATGAGCTCTGCGACGAAGCCAATGTTGGGGCTGATTGCGTTGCGGCGCTCGACGACAAAGTTGTAGCTCTTGCGCAGCGTCCAGTGGTGGGCGTGGATGAGGTAGGCGATGACGACGGTAACGGAGCGCGACTTGCCCGCCTTGCAGTGGACGTAGGTGGGCGCAGAGTGGAGGCGCGCGTCGTCGAGGAAGCGGCACGCCTCGTCGATGCTCTTCTGCACGCCCACCGCCTCGACGCTGTCCGTCATAGGGATCTTGAGGTACCTGTCGAACCGGCGGTCCAGCTGCAGGTCGTCGGCGCCCCCCTCTTCGATCTCGTACGCCATGTTGAGGATCCGCTTGACGCCCAGCCGCTCCAGCTCACCCACATCGCCGCGTGTCTGGACATTGGGACCCAGGTAGAGGAAGCCGGGCAGGATCGTCGAGACCTCAAAGGCCGTGTCTGCCGGGTACGGCTGGCCGCCATCATCGTGAGCACCGAACCCGAACGTGCCCCGAGCGCCTGGGGGCAGAGACATGTCGCCGAACGAAGAGGCCGACGGAGGCAGCTGCGCCTGCAGCCGACACAGGCTCTGCAGAGATTCGGTAGGCACTGGCGTCGGTGGCACGTCGTCTTCTTCGCTTGCACGAGCCGACGGCGCCGCAAGGTGCAGCGGACGGGCCTGCGGACTCGAGCCTCTGGAGAGGCTTCTCGTCGGCGGCGCTTCCAACGCGCTGAGGGTGGCAGATCGCCTCGGCACCGCGGTATCGAGCTGGAGGCGCGCGAGCGCATTCGGCGACTTCTTGGACAGCGCCGCACCGGAACCCGAGGAGCCATCCGCGGCTCGTATCCGTTCCGACGTGTCCAGCCGCGCCAGAGATGGCCGCTTGGGCTTCCCAGGCTGGACCGCGACTGATGCCAGGCTCGGAGGCGGCGAAGAGCCATGGGTAAGGCCCGATGAATGAGGATCGTGGGAGAGGGCGGAGGGGGAGAGGCTTGCCGAAAGTGGGCTGAGGTGTTGCGGACTCCTTGATCCGTCGGATGATGAGACCGTGGACAGGCTCAGAGGCGGAGCCAGAGTGCCGGAGGCGCCGCTCAGTGGGGAGGCAGGCCCCGGTGACGGAGCGGGTGAGAGTCGAGCGGGCCGGTGGTGCTGGTGGGTTCTGCTTGCGCCCACTGCCGTCTTGCCCGATGCAGCCCGTCGGTCCTGCCCGGATGACACGGCCTCTGCCCGGTCGAAATCTGGCACTCGAGCCCCCTCTTCTTCGGAGTCGAGCCAGAATCGCGGACCGAGCTTGGCTCTGACTTCCGCCATGTCGCCCCCGCGCACATAGTAGACGCCGCCACCGCGATCCGAACCGTGGCTTGGCCCCATCCTCTCTAACGCCCTCAGCAGGATCTCGTTTGGAGATTCGCTTTTGGCAGCTGTGATGGCGCGCGTCCTGCCGGGATTTGTGACGTCAGGCGCGCGCTGCTGGTCTTGTTCGTCGTAGACCACGACGACGTCGGCTTTCCAGTAGAGCGAATCGGTATCCAAAGCCTGCGTCATTGTCGACATTTCCTCCGCCGTGTGGCGATCCTCTGTGCGATCCGTTCCTGCGTCCGCCGGGCGCACGAGTCGACGTTTCTGCGCCCTTTCGTAGCCTGCCACGGTGCCGAGGATGTCGTCAAACCGACGTTTGCCCATGGCCGTCGTGACAAACGACTTGAGGGGCAGGTTCACGCTAGCGGTTGAGCCTGGCGCGCACGATCGCTGGAGCCGCCGAAGGATCAGCTTGGGCAGAGAGACGTTGACCGAAGATCTGATGCGTCCCGTTACGACTCGGGGAGCGGCAGCAGCAGTCTCGATGGCCAGATACGCCTCGAGAGACCTGATGTCGATCACGAGCGGAGGAACGGGCGATGTGGTGTCGAACGGGAGCGCCAGGCAATCGCCGGACCGCTCCTGAGCGCAGTCGCTAGGTTGTGGAGATGCCACTTGGCCGGCCGTGGCAGCGATGGTCTTCGGCGTATCGGTTTGCAAGGGTGATGGCGGTCGGTCGAAGAGGGAAGGGGTCGAGAGTGGGGCAAACGTCGTTCCAGGCGTCAACGTCGAGGCCGAAAGAGGTTGACTGGGCGATGGCAGTGGTGGTGAAGATATCAGGGAGGGTTCGGCGTGGGTGAAGCGGTCTCCAGCAAAGATGGGAATGGCGGCTGAGCGCGAAGAGAAGGAGATTGGTGGCGCTGAAGAGGCCGCTCCTGATGCCGCTACCGCTGCTGGTGCTGAAGCCGTGTGCGATGCTGACGGCGGTGCTGGTGACGGTGATGGTGGTCGTTGGGCAGCTGATGCCGTTGACGAGCACCAGGCAGACGTGTGGAGCTGGTCGAGGTTGAGGGTTGGGTGGTAGGTCTGGTGGTGCGGCTCGACGGCCGGTGCCGTGGCGGTGCGGAGTTCGGCGGCGGCAGCTGCAGTCGTGGCTGTATTTGCGCTGCTTGCTGTGGAGGCAGCGGAGGTGCGGGCCGTCGTGCTGCTTAGTGTTGGCCGAGATTTGTATTCCTTGTCGGTGTCTTGAGGCCGGACTGAATAGGCGCGGTCGTAGTGCCCGCCGTCGTCGGATAATGGCCGATTCGAATTATTGTTGTTGCGAAGAAAGAATGGGGCCCGGCTGCAGCTGCCGCCGCCGCTGGTCGCGGCGTCCGGGCTTCCGTCGACGTTTGAGCTGGGCGTGCGACGCTCGGAAAGCCGTGGCTCGCCCTTGGCGTCTGCCGCTTCACAGTTAGGCTTCGCCAATCCGCCTGCTGCCCCGGAACCGCATCCGAGCCTGCACCACAGCAACGGGGGACGGGGCAGAGCGCGTGACAAGGTCGGTTGTGCCATGAATAGGTCAAGCAGAGGGAGAGGAGGTCCGCGGCGGTCAGAGGCACGACCTTCTGACTCGAGTTCCCGCCGGCTGCCGCCCCATGGTCGTAGGGGGAGTCCCGAAGACACTACACTGGCGCGATCCCTGCCAGATCGAGCCTATACGTGTCATGTACGATGTTCCAAGCCCTCGGGATCCCCTCGACAGCGACTGCGGCGACTCACAGAGAATACGAGGACGGCCAAGCGGGCTGGGACGGCTGCGGTGGGTGCTGGCGCACGCAGCTTACGGACAGGAGCCTGGTGAGCAGCTGCTCAGGCTCGATGGAGACTGCATGTCGCCGCACGCCTTCGGTCCTCCGTGCCGAGCGGGTATCACCAAAGTCTCCGTCTCTGCTCGGGCTCGGCTGGTAGCAAGCGGAAGGGCTCGTCGCCGCAGCCGACGCGGCATCGGCAGGATGGTCAAAGCAGGGGGAAGCCGGAACCCGACGTTGCAACCTGGGCGAGTCGGACAGGCTACCGGAGGGTGCGTCAGGAGCGAAGTCCTGAGCCTGCTCGTGGATTTGGCAGGGCGAGGTGATGGAACGGGAGCCCTCGTTTGGCTGCCGCGCGTGGACCGCTCCGCCTCCTCGTGAGGGCCACTCGCTGGCGGGATCGAGCCATAGGCGCGACTGGGCCTCTTCGTTGGTGAAAGGGTATACGTTGGCGCTGTCGGAGCTGTGCTGGGATGCCGACGAGACCTCGCTGTCCGAGGAGCGCGGGTGCAGGCGATCGACGAAGCTCGATCCTGGGTTGCACGATTCGCTGGTGCTAGTGCGAGAAGCGCTCGAGAGCGCAGAGGGCGAGCCAACACTCGGCGCAAAGGCATACGCCTCGCCAAAGCCAGCGGCTGGCTTTGGTTGATCAGCGTAGAGGTGAAGAGCTCCTAGCTCGGCGGTGAGGTCTGGCACCGTGGCTCTGTGCAGAGCAAGAGCGGGCAAGCCTCCGCTCGCTGCACCTTGAGCTCGAGCCGAGGGCATTGCGAGGGACTCGTGAGTCCCGTCGTCCGCATCGTGGCTCTGGCGCAGCGTCCACGCGTCTGGGAGGCGGTGAAAGCCCGGCTCGACGTACGAGGGCGACATTTCCGCCGGGTTGGGTTTGTGAAAGGGGCGCAGAGATGGTGCCAGAGCTCTGAGCGCCGAATGCGGTGTCGCGATGGATGTCGAGGCTGATGTCGATGGTGTCTCGATGTCTGAAGCCGAGTCGGGACCGCCTAGAGATGCGAGGTAGGTTGTCCTGATGGCGGGCAGGGCCGACGACATGGCGCGGGTGACGGTAACCTCGCGTGCTCTTTGTTGTACCGGCATGGCCTGGAGGCGGACGGTGGGCGAGGCAGTGTGGCCAGCTGGCGATCGCGAACGGTCCATGACGGCGGCAGCAGGGGAGAAGCGTGGAGGGCAGGTTCGGGCCGAGTATGGAACGCGGGAGGTGCCAATGAGCGAGACTCTAGTAGCAGCCGGCCGGGCTCCCCGTCAGGCGGCGTGCGACACCTCTGCGGGGCTCCAAGGTGGGCGAAAGGATTCCTGGCCAGCCAGGACCTAGAGCATCGGAGATGTGGTGAAAGGCCAGGAAAGCCGCAGATGTCGATATCTATCCGTGCCGGAGCAGTGAAGTCGAGGCGGGACGAGCTGGGCCGGCGAGGTACGGTAGACCTCCAGACGAGTGCGAGGGACGTTGGTGGAGCAGTGCCTGGAGGTGTAAGCGGTGGTCTAGTAGAGTAGTGGTGTAGGCGTGACGTCGCGCGTCGTGGAGATGCTACGATGAGCGAGGGCAAAGCGATGGCAGCGAGCAGCAGATGGAAGGGATGGCAGCACGGGTGGTGGTGGAGGGATTCTCGTGGGACGTGCTGGCCATCGGCCGGGTCATGCAAACGAGGCAGGTCTCCCGGACATGGGGGCCGTCAGCCAGCCAGCCAGCCAGCCAGCCAGCCAGCCAGCCAGCCAGCCAGCCAACCAACAAAAGACACAGATCAGAGGCGTGGGGGGGGCAGGCGAGCCGGCGAGCAGGTGCCCTTTCCGACCTGCAGCGGCGACCCTGCCTGCCTGCTGGCCTCTGGCCCACTCCCGGCGGCGGCCATCCCCGCTCTCTAGGCCTCAGACACCACCTCGTCTCTCTGCTCCGCGCGCGCGCTCCATGCATCTCTACGGCATCCCTCGTGCTAGCACAGCGAGGGCTCTACGTAGACTCACGACTGCGAGCGCAGCCTGGGCCATGGGCAACCAAGCAAAGACATGGGCACGGTCAAGTAGCAAGCAAGCAGGGCGCGGCGCAGGCGGGGGCATGCACCTGCCACGCCTGTCTCGGCCCGACTTTGGCCCGTACACGGTCTGCATCCCATCGTCGACAGATGACGAGCCGTGATCAGGATCTCCATGCTTCATCCGCCACCACCTTGTCTCCTCCGGTCTCTGGTCATTGCTGGGCCGGTTGTCCACCTCGATGTCATCGGGTCCATGGCCGAATCGAATCCTGATGATACTACGGGGCGTCTCGCCGCGACGCCGGCCTAGCCTCAGACGCAGGCCGGGGCGCTGCCGGTGTGGTGATGGTGCAGATGCGTTCGGGATCCCGCCGGCGGTGCATCCACGGCTGCACAGACGAGGCAGATCGAGCAGCCGGCCCGATTTTTCGAGCCAGCTGGCCCTGCCCTAGCCTGCCAGGCCAGGCCCAGACGTGGCGCCCAAGCCGGAGCCGAGCCAAGCCCCGCCAGCCAGCCCTGCTGCGGCTGCCCTGCTTGACCGGATCCGGACAACGAGCCGGCCTGCCAGCCCTGGCCGCACCGCCGTCGCCCCGTCTTTGCGTGCGTCCGTTTGGCATCGTGCCGCGCCGCCACCTCGCATCAGCGCATCTCTCTCGTTGACCTTTGCATCAGCTACTCACCTGCGCAGACAAACAGAGTTATAGCCAGAGAGACGAGGGTGGCAGAGCGTATCCGCACTCAGCCAAAAAGTGACGCCCCGGCAGGGGGAAAGGGAAAAGGGGGGGCGCGCTCAGCTCGGAGGGAAGCGATCGGTCGCCTCATCCTCGCTGCGCTGGGCGGCGCAGGTGAATTTGTATTCCAACGTAGTCGAGCGGTTCGAAATACCGCGGAGGGGTCACGGGAGCGATTCATTTGAAAAGAGGCCGAGGCTGAATACAAAGCCCAGTGGTGAGCGGAAAGAAGAAGAAAAAGGCGGTGACGCCTGGCCCATCTGTGGGCGGCCGTCAGACGGCCAGGCCAAGCCCACACCCCAGCGTACGCGCAGGCGCATCCAAAGCAGCGAGAGAGGCTGGGACAGAGAGAGAAGCAGCAAGCCGAGAGAGGCAGAGAGAGAGGGAGAAGGCGAGAAAGGCGGCGCGCCCACAACCACACGCACAGCTCTGACGCCGTCCGAGCCTCGCACGCACGCAGCCCAGCCGCTCGTCGTCGTCGTCGTCGTCGTCGTCGTCCTGGCCTTCATTCCTTCCTGTTCATCTCCTTCCCCCTTCCGCATTTCGTCCTTCTACACTTCACCACCACCTGATCCTCGCTTGCGATCCTCATTCGCCCTCACCGCTTCTCTGTCGCGAACCTCGAGCTCCGCAGCAGAAAACCGGGCAGGCCAGATCCAGCGATTCTCAGGTCCAAAGCCAACTCCAGTCTCCACACAAACACACACGACCCATTCCTCTCCATCCGCTGCCGCCCTGCGAAAGCCAGCCTACCCAGAGCCCACGCCTCTCCCGTTCGCGAGTCCGCCGGGTCGTCAGGACTTGTCAGAGAGCTCGGACTCCCGCCTCTCCTCGCCACCGGTCCCCACCTGCTCCTGACCTCGACCACGTCGATTCGTCGCGAAATCCCAACAAGATCCAGTCTCTAGGCTGCTCTTGCCACGTCACCGCCCTATCCAGCCGCTTCCTCTGTCTCTCATACACCCACACACACCCACCTACATAATGTCGGCGGCAGCTCAACGTCGGCCCAAGGGTCGCCAGCAGCCCCTCGATGACACAGAGGAGGTCAGAAACCTTCGCGCAAAGTACTCGGACCGCCTCGAAATGATCCGAGAGCTCTTCCCCACCTGGACCGACGAGGACCTCCTCTTTGCGCTGCAGGATGCCGGTGGAGATGTCGAGCTGGCCGTCGTGCGAATCAGCGAAGGTAAGTTGGGCGCTTGGCTACTGGAATCAGGCCCATCTCGCGTCTCGCCGCACGCCGCACGCCGCCGGCCGGGGGCCAACTCGAACAATGCTGATGACCCGCATACCTTCACCTCCTCCCGATCCTCGTCTCTTGCGTTCTGCGCTCCCGCCCCGCCCTCGCCATGTGTTCCTATGTCAGGCCAAGTCGAACAGTTCTCGTCGGTCAAGTCAAAGAAGCACGTCAAGAAGGAGGGCAGCGCCGCCTCTGCGCTCAACGGGTCGTCCGCTGGATGGAACTCCCTGTCGAGCTCCACACCTTCCACGTTTGGACGTGGTCGCGGCGGGCACGTTGCATCGGATCGAGGCGGCCGCGGCCGCGGCGGAGGTGAGTGTCCGTTGATCACCACCAGCACCTCTGCTGCGCTTGGAATGAAATGCGTCTTTGCTTGTGAAAGCTGAAGTGACCGCCTTTGGCCTTTCCTTGCGCTTCCAACCATCATCTTGCATCTCCTGCCTTCTCAAACGCGCAGCTGCGGTGCGTGGAGCTCGTGGAGGCCGAGGCGGGTTCCGTGGAGCCGTTGGTGGACGAGGAGGAGGAATTGCCCCTCAGGTCAACGGACATGCCGCCAAGTCGCCCGAGACCACCCAAGAGACTCCGGCCCAATCCTTCGCGCCGATTGCCACGCCGACGACTGGCACCAGCTGGGCAGAGGCGCTCTCCAAGTCTAAGCTCAAGCAGAACGGTGCTCAGGCTGCTCCTGCCGCCCCCGCGGCTGCTGCCGATGGACCTGTCGCCGCACCGGCTCTCAAGGACGCGGCCGATGCTCCTTCGCTCGCCGAGCCCGTCGAAGAGACCCAGAAGGAACAGGCTTCCACGATCCCCGCCGCCGAAGCGCCCGCCGCCTCGGAATCAATCCCGTCGGTCAAGGTCCCGGCATCGGCCGCTTCAGGCGGCGCTGCTGCTGCTCCCAAACCCGCCATGAGCTGGGCCCAGATCGCCCGCAAGTCGGAGGCGCCCAAGCCTGCGCCGGTTGTTGCTCCTGCCGCGGAGCCGGTTGCGCCTGTCGAGGAGAAGAAGGCCGAGGCGCCGGCGGCCGTTAACGAGGAGGTTCAGGACGCTGTCGAGCAGGCCTCGTGGACCGTCGACGAGCCTTCGGCGGCGGCAGAGGTCAAGGAGCCCGTCGAGGAGGCCGCCGCCCCGGCTCCTGAAGCTGCACCAGCTCAGGTTGAGGAGACGCCCGCTGCGGTCGAAGCACCCGCTGCCGCAGAGGCTACGGAGGCTGCAGCTTCCGAGGCCGTCGTTGAACAGGAGGCCGCCGCACCCGCCCCTGCAGCTGCCCCGTCCGCTTCCGCAGTTGCCGGCCCTCCCGGCCTCGCTGCCAACAAGCCCGCCCAGCGAGCTCCGCTCAGCCAGCGCGGGAGCCAGAGGTCCCGACAGGACGCTGCCGTCGTCATGCCCGGCGGAAGCTCCCAACTCGACAACCTCGGCGTCCGCTTCGGTAGCCTCAACTTCCTCGGCGGTGAGGATGAAGCCGCAGGCGAGACGTCCATCGAGGAGCCCGTCGCCGAGAAGACGGAGCAGGTCGCACCGGCGGCTGCTGCTGTTGCCGATACCCAGGCAGCTTCGCCCGCCGCCTCCAAGGCTCAGCCGAGCCTGCACGAACGTCTGGCTCAGAGTCAGGCCCCTTCTGCCGCCCCCGTCGCGCCGCCGCCGCAGCAGCAGCAGCAGCCGCAGCAGCAACAGCCTCCGGCCCAGGACCCGTACGCTGCTCAGCAGCAGCAGCAGCAGCAGCAGGCCAGCCCCTACTCTGGCTACAGGTCGGATGCCTTTGATGGCTCCGCGTACAACTTCGGCGGTCAGCAGCAGCAGACGCCCGTCAGCCAGCAGCAGCCTCAGGCTTCGCAGGAGACGGCGCAGGCTCAGCAGCCGCAGCACCACCAGGACCACCTGGCGGGCTACGGCGGCTTTAACTCTCTCGGACAGAACCAGTCGCACGCCGGCCAGCACACCCAGTCGCAGGTCTCGCAGCAGCCCCACCAGGGCCTCCAGGACTACTCGATGTACGGCGGCCTCGACACGCAGCGCCTCGCCCACTTCTACGGCAGCTACGACCAGAACACCAATTCGTTCGGCCAGCGCGCCGACGACAAGGCGCAGACGCAGCAGTCGGCCGCCCAGCCCCAGCAGCAGCAGCAGCCGCCTCTCGACCACCAGGCCGCCGGCCAGCAGCAGCAGCACCAGCAGCAGCAGAGCCAGGGCGCCGCTCCCGGCGTCCACCAGCAGCAGCAGGCCCCCCAGCAGCAGTTCCCCGGCATCATGCCGTACTACTACCCGCACTACTACATGCCCAACCAGTTCCAGCACTACGCCCAGCCCACGGCCGGCTACGGCCAGTACCCGATGTACGGCCAGCCTACCGGCCAGCCGCAGCACCCCTCCAAGCCTGGCACGCCCGCCAACCTGGCTTCGCCCTACGGCCAGGCCGGCCCTCAGAGCGGCGACGCGTCGGCCTACGGCGCCCAGAGCCACTACGGCCAGACGCCCAGCTCTACCGGACTGTCGGGCTCGTACGACGCCCAGGGCTTCAGCCGCGGTATGCAGGGCATGCCCGGCCTTGGCGGCGCCTCTGACTACTCCAAGATCTACGGCGGTGCGATCCCCGGCCTCGGCGGCTTCCTCGGCGGCGGCGCCAGCGGAGGCGCTCCTCCGTCGCAGTCGGGCGGCATGGGTGGTGCGTCTGCCGCCGCCGGCAGCGGCAACGCCGGCACGCCCCACCTCGGTTCGCAGCAGAAGGCCGGCGCGTCTTCTGGCAGCGCCCTCGACAACTACAGGCAGTTTGACGCCAACCCGGCCAAGGCCTCGAACCAGGCCGGCTCGGGCGTCCAGGTCAACCGCTCCCAGGCCCAGGGCTCGTCGACTCCGCAGCAGCAGCAGGCGCAGCAGCACCAGCAGCAGCAACAGCAGCAGTACTACCAGTACGGCGCCTACGGCCACCAGGCCCACACCTCGGGCTCTTACGGCAACTACCCCTACGCCCGCCAGTACTGGGGCCAGTAGGCGGCTCAGTCTCCGCAGAATCCGAGGTCTTTATTGCTGAGGTCCGCCGGTGGAGCCGACGTATACACGGGTGGATGCAAGCTTCAACGCCGTCGAGCAGGACAGGGCGGTCGGTCGGTCGGTCGGTAGTGTCGAGGCCATCGCGGAAGCACCTCGTCGTCAGCCCTCGCCATCACGCCCCGTCGCTCTGCTCCTACGACGTCTTGTTCGGTCTCCGCCCTCTCTTGGCTCGCTGGTGGCCTGCTTCCTCGCCGACGGCTGCTCGGGAAATACAAAACACGTGACTCGGGCCCTCGTCGCCTCTGGTCGTCCCCGCTGCTTCCTGCTTCATACCGTCGCTGCCGGAGCTAGTCTCTCATCACCGCTCCTCTTGGTGTCCACGCCGTGCCATTGCAAGACAAGGCGAGCGAGCCTTGCCTCGCCTTGCCTCGCCTCGCCTTGTCTGGCTACTGGCTATCCCCGACCCGCGCACCTCAAACGCATCAGTTCCTTGCCTCTGTCTGGCCTCGCTTTCGTGGTAACTAGTCCAAAAGCCGTCTCTCTGCGCTCCGACGAAACTCCCTCCTGTATAGCTAATGACGTAGCGATTCTCGAAGATCTCGTCTGCCCCCACCCGTTTGCCGCGCCCGGGCCGGCGCTTTGACACCCATCTGCCTCGCTTGAGTGGGGATGACGGGGAGCTTGTGGACATGTGAAGGTGACGGCAACTTTGGGCCGCCCGTGCGACCCCAGTTTGCGGGGCAAAGGGGGACGGTGGGAGGAGAGCAATCGATGGTCAACCTTCAACCTGTCCAGGTAGCCCCAACCATGGCCTCGTCTGGATGGTGGGTGGGTGACTGGCTAGCTCCGCCAGAGTCTCGAGGGGCTGTGACGTGCCGAGGTGCGCCGTCACTTCGATCTGTATCAAAGGATCGTGCGAACCAACGCGCGCGCGCGCGCTCTCCCCGACTGGGTGGGCGTCGCGAAGGGCATCATCGACGACGCCGGTATCCAGTGACCGAGCTGAGGACGTGCGCGCCCTCGAGCCTTTCCTTTGCGGTTGCAGCCCACGATGCATCGGTACAATGGCCCCAAGGTCAGCGGCTGCGAGCGTGACTGTGCACTGCGTCGATCGGCGTGAGCCGTCCGCCTCCGCACCCTCATTTTGCCACGCACGATACTTCGCTTGCGGGATCAAGAGCCAGAACGACACGAGAGGACAATGGCCAGGCAGGCCTAGTAGCCTGGCCAAGCCTTTTGAGCCAGACGAAGCCGCGGCGACCTGAACGGTGTCTGAGTCGGGGCGTCGGGTGGGGACCGCCGCGTGTGAGGGTCTGCCCCGGCCTGGCAGGCGTGAATCGAGCACCGCGGCTCCCACTTTGCGCCTGCCTGCTTGGCCTGGCCTGCGGTGCCGGTGCCCAGCCAGCCCGTGCAAACCGCGAGGACCGACGATGAGCCGCCTGCCTGGCCTGCCTGCAGGCCGTACCGAGCGGGCGGCACAGGTCTTCGCGATGCCCTCGCGCGGGTCCTCTCCTCGCCTCGCCTCGCCTCGTCTTGCCTTTCCCTGCTGCGCCTTGCCTTTGCGTTGCGTTTGGCAGCCCATCCCCAACCCCCGTTCCTCGATAGTTAGACGGAGGATGGTTGGATGGAAGTGTGAGTCACCGCGACACACCCGGACTCGTCTGACACTTCCGAAGCACGCTCGTCGTCGTTTGCACCAGGCCCAAACCAAGCTGATGGACCCAGCGATTCGGTCCCACCCTACCCTTCTCCACGCTGCACAAGATCAGGCCTGCGACGTACATGTGTGCGTGGCTAAGTAGCCGGTCGCTCGGTGGTTCCCTCGGCCTTCCGAGCGTGGTGCTCTCTGTTCCTGCCACCCTCTGGAAGCTGATCAAGAAGGTTCACACGATGTCGTACCTTTCCCACCCTATTCGTGACACAGAGCGGCGCCTTCCGAATCTTCGGCCCTTCCGTCCCGAAACTTCCCCGCTGGGACAAGCACAACGAACACCCACAGAAGGGACTTGGTAACCCGCGCTCCGGCAGGAAGATGGGATGGGCAGGTGCGTCTCGGCCAGCAATCCGACGCACGTTAAAAGAAGCGTGGGATCTAGGGACCTAAAGCACTTACTACTCTGCACTCGGCCATGTGCTAGCTACCTAGTCGATACACTGACGCTCGGGCTGGAAATAGACGGGCGCCAGTACCGCTGACTGCTACCGGTATGCTACGCCGAGGAGGGGGCTACGGTAGCCAGCCGCCGCGGCGCCGCGGTGGCGGTTGATCGCCGTGCTCTGTAGCTTGGCCCTTGTCATTTTTGTACACGCTTAGCCCTTCAATCTCCAGACGACAGGTAGATAAACATTAAGATTATAATTACAGCCCCGGCCAATCTGTTGCCTCCCATTTTTACGTGCGCCAAGAAAACGGCGCAGCCCGTCGTCGACGCCCGCACATCGTCGACGAGACGCAGTCGAACACTAGCCTTTCCGTATCGCAGAGATGGGGCATCGACCATCAGACCTCTGGTCGCTTTGGCCGCACCGATGCGAAGCTCGCTAACCCTCGTGGCACGACATCGGGTCCCACGCTCCGATGCAAGATCACAAGCAATCTTCTCAGGCTCACGCCGGGCCAGCAGTCAGGAAGCTACGGACGACCAATGATGTGAGATCGGGTCAAGCCGGACAGCGACGGCAAAAGCGTGCGTGACATGTCGACCCTTAGGTCCCGGAGTTTGTGAATCTTCCGCTGCAGCGCGCGCTGTGGCTCGCCGATGCACCGCACAAGGTTGGACGCCAAGCGAGGAAGCGTCGCTTGGGAGAGTAGGGTGAGGGACGGCGAGGGATGACCGAGACGGGGGTCTGGAGACGGTAGCTTGGGAGAGTCGAGCAGCGGATCGTTCTTCTTGCCCGCTTGCCGCCGCCGAGCTGACCGTGTGGTCCCTGGGGTGCTCGGATGGTTCGCCTGTCAATCTCGAGGGACCCGGGGGTGACAGGCGGCCATGCCCTTGCACCACCACGACGAGGACGACAACGACCACCCCCACCACCGCCTCCATCACCAGATCCACCGCCATGTACCCTCCGACAGTGCTGTACCGACCCCGCTTGTCAGCTCTTAGGCGAGCGTCTAACACGTTAGTGCGCGCCCCTCGAGATCGGAATGCACATCAGCATGCTTCCATGCAAGGTCCGCGGGATGGCTGCTTCCATAGCCTCGATGCGGCTCGCTTAGCACCTCTCTGCCTCGCAAGCTTGCCTAGCCGCCTGGTCGACGAGGAAAGATCATCCGGGCATGTGGCTGCTCGACCTCAGCAGATACAGTACACGTACCTACACCTCAGCGTTCCCTTTGCCGCCCGTTGGTCCACGCCGATATCGTCCATGTCAAACTGTGTATGTATGTACCTTGCCCCCTTCTCGCCAAGGAAGCTCCGAGCTGTCATGTCAGATCGTCGTCGATCTCGTACCGTGTCAAGATGCAATAAGGGCGCCGCAAAGCTGGATATGTATAACCTGTACACGATCGCTCCGACGAGCGGCCGGTACTCTTGATCCGTCTGCAAATGCACAGACGATAACACAGGAAGCTCTCGCAGACATGTCGTCCAAGAGTCACCGCTGCCGCACGCCATCGTCCTGTCAAATCTCGAGTAGTGCCAGGCCGTCAACCCGTGTCAGACGTTGCACCAACCGTCTCCTGCAGGCTAGGCGCTAGCGTAGAGCTTTCTGAGCGACCGGCTACATCACTGGGTCGACATGACGTGCGGGATCGAGTCTACGCTGTCGAGGCTCCCGCACGTGCACACGAGCTCGAAGATAGGTCGGCGGCGAGCAACGATGTCGTAAGCAAGCGTGTTGATGGCAAGCAATCCCGTCGAAGACGAGGATGTTGCCGTCGTCGCCGATAGGGAGCAAGATGGTTGCTCGCACGGGTAAGTAAAGAGGGCGCTCGGAGTGGCGACGACCGAAGAGGCTTCTTCGTGCGTTGACCAATCGACGGTTGCAAAGATGGAGACGGCGACGACGGCACCCGGCACCGACGGATCTCACCTCGACGTCAACTGCACTATCCAACGGGCCCATCTGGACCGCAGCTTTGCCGCGCACTTCCTCGGCCTGTCTGCCTCAGCCCGAGCGCATGGAGACGCAGAACGAAGGTTCAGGCTGTCACGACAGACAAGGCCCTTTGCACGATTGTGAAGCAGAAGATTTAAGGTTCAGCCTCGACGAGCGCTTTTGCGGCAGCGGACCGCTCGCTCCGTATCGATATGTTGCGCGCGAACGTGCGCGTATGTACAGGAGCCTGTCCGTCTTTCGTGATGCTGCGACCTATCAGATGCGACAGGAGCAACGACAGTTGGCACAGCTGAGCCAAGGTGGACGTGCGACGGCAGTGAGGAGACGCAGATGATGCACACGCTACCTGGAGGCGTTCCGAGTTCTTCCCTGTGCTGGAGACGCGCGCGAGTGTGTGGGTGTTGGACCTCCTATCACCCAGACTGATGTCGAGAAGCGTGCTATGGTCGGCCCGCTGCACTTGGGAGACGACCTAGAGGCTCACTTCCACCTCCGAGATTGCGACCCCGTGCAAGCGCGGACCCGGGCAGTCCGACGATCGCATAGCGCAGGCCCAACACCGCCCGTCCGGCGTTTCTGCCTCGTCCACTCAAACCCCGGCCAAGCCCCACGAAGCCGGACAATGGCGGGGTGAAGGGACTCCCCGCCTTGCTCCCCGAGCTGTCAGGTCGTTGCCGGGGACCGACGACCGCTTTCCGCACAGGTCCGCTCCATTGTGAAAGCCCGTGCGCCACAATCTCGGTACTGGGGCCTAGGCGACTTTCATTGTGGTCAAAGTTGGATCATATGGATACTTACAGTACACACCACCTTGTGCGATGGTTCCTGTCGAGAGCATCGTAAGGCCGTCTCTTTTGTAACCCAGTCCCAAGCGAAGCTGTGCAGACGGCCTCGTAAAGCGAACGTGCGCACTTCGCTGGGCCTGGCAACACAAT